TGATGACATGAATGTTACTAAGACAGGTTCTTGCACTGCCTACAGCAGCTGTGGAGTCTAGTCATCAAAATGTGAGGTTCAAACACCAAACACAAGGTTCTTGCACTGCCTATAGCAGCCGCGGAGCCTAAATATCAAATACGAGGTACTTTCACTGCATACAGCAGCCACAGAACCTATATACCAAGCGCGAGGGTTTTGCACTGCCTACAGCAGGAGCCTAATTGCCAAATATGAAGTCTATATTTTGCTAATGATAGCCGCAATACCTAACAGTACTAACCAATGGGCGGGAGGGATGGGGCAATAGAGCCAGCCTGAAAAGAAAGATAATCTCTTCTACTAACCAAAGGTCCCTTAAATACATTATTGGTTACAATATTCAGAACCATATGATTACCCCCTTGTTTCCCTTACTATTCTCATCGTAATTCACATTTCAACAACTATATTAACCAGAAAATACTTGTATCTAACAGGACACCATAAAGCTGTACACAAATATCTATAAGAAGTTAAACGACGACTAATTGAACATGTGATCTATAAAGTCATCTGATCACATAAAGTCATCTGATTTTGCAGTAATGAACTTTGTTGACAAGCTTTTCAGTGTAAATATGTTTGGATGTTCAGAACATTGTGTTTTAAAATTTCAAGCTTTTTTATTTTTTTTGGTTTGTTTTATCAAATTTAATTAGAAAATCACCTTTTGTAGTCTAATTAAATGTGTTTCTTGTGAAATCTTACAAATGGACATTACAATGTTCTAATCCTAATCTTAACTATAACATGGTTTTCTTAGCTTTAATTTTAATTGCAATTTTTTTTAAAACAAAATACACTTGTTTTAAATATATTGTCGCACTTGGTCTTAAATTTTTGTGGATGTGCTACCAAAATAGAAAAATTAAAAGAATTAATTTTCTAAAAATTTTTTTTATAAATTGTCAATTTAAAAATGAGTTATTTCAATAATGTGGTTCACTTAATACCATAATTTTTGTATGGTTAAACTAGTATAATATTTTTTACTTAACAAATAAATTAATAAAATTTTTAATATAATTGATTTATTCTTGTCTAAACAACCAAGATTTGTTATATTCTAATCTGAAAATTTTTATATAATTTTATTTTTAGCATAAAATATAAATTATAGAGAAATCTATTTGATGTCTGGCAAATTTACCCAGATTTACTTATTTGTGAGGTTGACTAGCATTATAATTAGGGTTGAGATAAGGGCATATTAGTAAAATAGCTAGAAATTTTGGTAATTAAATCATAAAAGGTGATTTCTTAGGCAATATTTTGAATTAATGGTGATATTTTGAAAAATCTTGACTTTGTATTACACAAGATTGCACTTAATTTTTGATCTATATAGAAATTTTCTATTAGATTTTAGATTAATTTGTCTAGGTGACAAATAGCAACATTCTAAATTATGGTTAAAATTAATTAAAGCCAATTTATACAAATTTTTGATAGTCATCTGTGGGTCAATAGCACAGTGGTTAGCACTTCCAGGTTACAGTCACAAGGTTGCAGATTCAAATCTAACTGAAGAACAAAGCTATGTTAAGATCATGGCTAAAAGGATTTTTGAATTCATATATGTAAAATGCAGTCTATTGACATAACTATGGGTCAAGAATGTTCAAATAAGATAAATTGTCAACAAAGAACATAAAAATTAAGTAAATTCAGCTTAAAAAAAGTACTAATCTAATAAAAGAAAGAGACTACAGGGTTCAACATTTAGGAGAGTCTCTGCTTACACCTGAAATAGAAGAATGATCAAAATTTTAAGACAAACAAAATAGCAAAACAAGTACCAAAAAGTGGCACAGAATAGATTATCAGAAAAAGAACCAGATAAGGCTAAAACTGACAACACTACAGGTAGGTAGAAAGATAAATAATAAAATATTCTAAAACTGAATATAGATTAAGAAAGTACAGATAGTATAGAAATAGAAAAATTATAATATATAAGATGTTATCTAGATTTATAAATAAAAGAGTGCTATATACATCCAATAATAGTAATATTATCAATATAAATAAAATTTTTTTTTGATAATAGTATTTATAATAGAATAATATTTAAATAAATTTTATAATATATAAATATTCGAAAAAGTACTGAAATATTAAAGATGATTTATTAGCTAGTTGATATAAAATTTATTTAATTTGAAGATAGATCATTTTTTTAGATATTTTTTTCTAAAATAGATTAATAACAAATAATTAATAGTTTAATTATTAATGCCACATGTCTAAATTTAATCTCATAAAATAGTTATATATAAATAGAACTTACTGTTATTAAAACAAACATTTATTTTAAAACTTATAATATTTGTAAACACTACTTGAAATTTTAGAATAAAGCAAATATATAGATATTGCAAACTCTACTTGAAACATTATCTTTTAAACTATATTTCAGATAAATTTGCTTAGAAAAATAAATTATATTTGGTATTTTTTAAATGAATTTAACTAATTATAACCGTAGTGATTATCACTGGTGTGTAATTAGCCAATAATAATAAAACAAAATAAAAATTTATTTCCTTTACTTTAGGGTTAGTGTGAGGCCTGGGATTTTAGCAAGGTGTTAAATATATGCAATATTTAGTAAGGAAATTTTTTGCTAAAATGTCGAAAGTAGTTTCATAGACGAATTCTTGAGATATTGGCATTTTTTGAAAAAAATCTTTATTTTTGCTACACAAACTAATTTGCACATTACACCTAATCTTGCAAATTTATTGGCTAATTATACACACCGGTGATAATCATCATGGTTATGGTTAGCAAAATTCTTTTTTAAATAAAATAATAATTTATTAATAATATGATATATATTTATTATAGAATATATTCTTAAAAATATATTTTATAGTATTTTAGCACTTATTGTCAGTGGTGATATCACTATGTTCTATTTTTTTTATCAAATTTAAAGATAAAAAGCAATTTTAAACCAAGGTTAAAGTTAGATACAGTCATCCCTCATTAATATCAACTCCATTAATATCAACCTAGGCTATACAATGAACTTTTATATATAAAATTATATTGAGAATCCCTCATATATATCAACTTTAATATGTTTCCTCATTAATATTACTATCAATATGAATATAGAAACGATCAAAATAGGTTGATATTAATGAGGGATGACTGTATAAAGGTTTAAATCTTTGTTAAGGTTAGGTTTTTAAAGTCCTGAACATTTTTACTTAGTATCTTCAATATGTGTTAGTTAGTAGGTTTTAAGATATAGTATTCTTAGCAATATCACTGTTAGTAATAAATAGCAATATTCTATTTTATAAACTTTATTATAAAAATTTTTAAAATTATTAATAAACTTTTAAGTAATAAAATTTTAAAAATTTTGTTTAAAAATTTTTATTATTAAAATTTTTCAAGATTTTTAAGATTTTATATATTTCTGAAGATATAAACCTTTTTGCTTTTAAGGGTATGGTGACTTAGTGAAGTGGGTAGGTTGTTGTACTCCCAAGCATCAGGCCAAGAGTTTGAATCTTACAGGTAATAAAAATTCGAATTTACAGAATGTATTTGGAAGACCATATCCTATTGGGTCAGCACTTGTAATGGAGTCACACCAGCTTATACTGGGAGGCAGTGAAACATTATTATAATATATGAGTTACACAAAACCCAAGAGAAGCTGCTGATTAAATCTAGCAAATTGGGAGACAGAAGCCTCTAAAGTTATGTGTGACATGCTCATTCAATTAACAAACACAGTAAATAATGAAAGAGAAAAAACTGTGAACTATTGGATAGCTGCATTTTGGTAAGTATTATTTTGTTTATATTGAGAACAATAAGCATTAATTTTTTAATTAAAGGCTTGTATGCACAGACATTTGAAGTAGGTTCTCACGCATGACTACTAATAGCCTTTTATAGACTGGTACTTTCTCGTTAGCTGCAGGTTTTTCTTGTGTTAATTAATATAAGCTAGCGTTAGTATAATTGAATTCTTGGATTACTCAGCTTTACTGTCTATTACCGAGCTATAACAAGTACACGCTCATTTATTATTGTTAATAGAAAAATGTCAATTCTTCAAATTAAAATAGTTTAAAATGAAAAACAACAATGGTTTAGTTTTCTTATTACAACGGAAAAAAAGCAGGAATGATATTTACCAACTTAAGTGGTTTATGTAATACTGGAGCTTATTCTTTTATATATTTTTATTAAAAAGCAGTATACGAATTGTAGTGTTAAATCTAATTGTACGTATTACGTTCCTGGTTTTAGCGCGACTACGTCGCGCAGTTATCCTAATTTATTAACTGCGGTTTTAAATATACACTAGATCATACCTTCCGTTCCTGGTTTTGCGTGACAATGTTACTTAAACTTAGTGCGTCGTGATCAATAATTGCATAAGTTCAAATAAGGCTAGGCTTCAGCCTTCAATATCTAAGAAAACATCTTTAAACATATTCGATGAAAAAAAATGGGTTTCGAAGATTTTAATTTGTTTTCAGGAATTTATATTCCAAAGCGATTAATTATAATTATCTTTTGTGTGACTGGCATCATTATCAGTTATGCAGGTATTTAAATTTATTTAACTTAATAATAATAATTCATAATTAATTTATTTAAATTGAATATTAAAGTGTAAAATTTTCTAAAAAGATCGATCCAACATGGCTGTTGCCATAATCTATATGACATTAGACTTTGGTTATACATCAACGACTCAAGGTGTTATATTGTCTTCATTTTTTTTGGGTTATTTATCAACACAAATTTTAGGTGGTGTACTTGCCGATAAATATGGTGGAAAATGGGTATTAGGTGTTTGTAAGTAATATTAAAGTGATGCAATATTGCATGCAGGGTTTTGCATCGCAAGAATTTTAATTTATTTAAACTTCACCTTGACATATATAAATGGCTTGTATAATAATTAATTGAATTATATCTAAATGTTCTTAGCTGCCGCAATATGGACGCTATTTACCTTTCTTACACCAATTTCTGCAAAGATTGGTTTAGGATATCTTTTATTATGTCGAGTACTTTTGGGTGTTGGTGAAGGTGCATGTTTTCCAACCGTTAATTCCTTGATTGCTGCTTGGTTTCCGATGGAAGAGAGTAATAAAGCAGTTTCAACTATTGTGTGTAAGTATAACTATAATTTCATTAATTAAAATTTTTATTAACATGTATAAATTGTGTACATAGCCTCTGCTTATATAGGAATTGTGATTGCTTTGCCGATATCATCTTGGTTAGGATCTGGTCCTTTTGGTTGGCCTAGTATTTTTTGGGCGTTTGGGATAGTTGGATTCATTTGGTCTATATTATGGCAAATTTATGGCAAAAGCAGTCCAAACGAATATTCAGGAATTAGTCAAGAAGAGTTAGTTCTAATTTTAAAAGGCAAACAAAAAAATAAACCTATTGAAAATTTGAGTTATCATGGAGAATCAACAACGAATGAGAATGATACTGCAACTCCTGCTGCTCCATTAAATAATTTTGTAAACGAGGAAGATAATGAATTCGGATCTGAGGTTGATGCACTATTGCCAAAGAAATCGATGTCAAATCCAAACAAAGTTCCATGGAAACTCATTCTTTCTCGTCTTGAAGTGTGGGCTATAATTATTACTCAATTTTGCAACTTATTTGGTAACTTTATCTTACTCAACTGGTTGCCTACTTATTTTTTGGATCATTTTAAATTAGACCTTAAACATCTCGGGTATTTTGCCAGTAAGAATTTTTATTCCGTAATAATAGTAGCGATAATATAATGATAAATATAATTCATTTGCAATTACATGAACTCTTAACTTCATAACCCTTTTTTTAGTGCTTCCTTATGCCACACAAGGAACCGTTGGTATTATCGCTGGTATTATTTGTGACTATTCAATCAATAAATTGAATATTCATGTACGAACTGTACGGATAGCAGCTCAAATAATTGGTGCATTTGGAACTTCGATATTTCTTTTATCTGTAAGTTTTCAATATTTTTTTGGGAATTTTTTTCTGTAGGAATAATGTATTTGCAATTTGTAATTATATGTTTTTTTTTGTTAGACAGCATATTTAGCACAAACACCTATGCAAGGAATAATCTTAATATCAATTGGCACAGGATTAAACTCATTTTTTACCTGTGGCGTACACGTGTCTCAGGTAAATTAATGATTATTCTTACCACTTATATAATAACAAATTTTAACTTAAAAATTTATATTAATATATTATAATAGTTGGATATAGCTCCTAAATACGCTGGTGTGATTTATGGATTGGGACATACTAGTGCCGGAATTTCAGCTCTATTAGGAGTAGCATTCACAGGATGGATACTAGATATTACGAATAGAAATTGGAATGTTGTTTGGATTTTGGTTACTGCTTTTTATTCTATCGGTTCCATATTCTTTGTTAGCTGGGTTGGTCATGAAGTTATAATTGATTGAGGATTTATTTGATAATGTTGAAATATTTACAATGTATAATACAATATCTAACATTATGTATTACATTGATTACTGATTAATTAAAGATAATGTAATTGTTTTAGTTAATCACTAACATTGTATATTTTTATAATGTTTATAGAATTGCTTCTCTTTCTAACACAATATGACACTCTCGAATCCAAATCTTTTTAATAATCTATATTTGATATAGTTTTAAAGCACAAATTCGAGATATGGTTGAATCATCACAATTCTAATATAAATCAAGTTAAATAAATATATAAAAATAACACTTAAAATGAAAGGCAAGATCAGAATAATGTTTGTTGTAATCGATAGAAAAGTATTGCGCAAAAAAAAAATAGTAGATCATCTTGACTTACGAGAATGATGAATACGATCCGCAAAAACAAAAAAAAATCTATTTTATAAATTAGCAAAGTAATTCAGAACTGTAAGTGGCCGGATAAAATACCCGGGTCTTTACATTCCACCAATGTTAAAATCTATAATAGGTATAGTATACTTTGAGAGTAATATGAAAATTTTAAAGAACATGCAAATATTTTTCATAATTTTTCATTTTTAACAAGCAGTCTAGATATTTGACAAATTTACTTTTTTTTTTTTTTATCAGTGTACGTGGTCATATTGTGAGGGATCTCTTATCCGGCCTATACGGCAATCTGAAGATTCATTAGTTTTATATTTTTTTCTTATTTTTTTCTCTGGCTTAAAATCGTCGTTAAATACGTTAAATAACGTCCCTGGCGTTATTTCGAGACATAGAATTTCCAAAGAACGTACATTTAATTTTGATAAAAATAAAATTATCGCTTTTATTCGTCAAAATTAATTATTAACTCTGGAAATTCTGTGTCGCAAAATAACGCCCTGCTCAATAGCAGAGGGAATAAACCGGTATGGATTTCTTTAAGAAAATGGGAGACAAAACAGAAACAATTCTGCCATAATTAAGAAATTCAAAAATTGTTTTGTGCAAAACGTTCGTATATTTTAGTCTGATCAGTACATTGATAATATTTCACAAGATTTAGTATCAACATGCAAATATATTTCAGATCAAGATTATCTAGAAACAATTAGGATATAGTATTTATAAAATCTTTATTAGATTTAGTGCTCCTAACTAAACGGGGTTGTACTGTTCAACCCGTTAGATAACCCGACCCCATTTGATCAGGTTAATTGGCATATGCAATTACGTAAATAAAAATAAACTATTCACGTAAATAAATTAGAAGCTATTGTTACGTAAA